TCAAGATAATCAGAAATGATGGTTGACCAATGCATTCCCAAAAGAGCAGTCCCCTCAACAACGATGATTAATTGCTTATCGGCAGCCATTACTCCTTCAATTTTCAATTGCACTTTTCACTCTTGGATGTTTATTCTGAAATACAAATCCCTCTGTCTCTATCTCTACCCCTTCTTATAAAATAATATTATTTACATCCGAATTATTTATTGCGTATCATATATAATTAATCTTTTAGCTTCTTAGACAAATATTTTCCCTTTCTAGCATATTTTGTATAACAACATGATTTTCTACCTTTTAGAAAAATTTCCATCTTATAATATTTTGTACAAATTTGAATTACAATTTTAAAATGAAACCGTTGTGTAATAATGGTCAAAGGTATATACTATTATAAGCCTTAATTATGTTCATACAAAGCATTTGTTCCAATAAATTTTGGAATGGATGAACTATGAATTATACATTTAATGGAGGAAAGAAATGTAACGCTAATTAATGCCTTCAATTACTACAGATTTAACGTAAACATTTATTAGTAAAATGACACTCATATCCCTGCGTATACACCTATTCGTGTCTCGACTTAGTGATGAATGATCTTTTATCGTCAATTGTTCAAGTTGCGCAACGAAACGAAGAATTACTCGAAAATCTACCCTTAGCTCAATCTATTTTCCCTTAAACCATATCCCTTTTAGCCCAAATTACAATCCAAGCCACCCCCCTCCTGGTTTTGAGCCCAAACGCCTAAACCTATTTGAACATACAACCTCCATCAACCCAACCACATAAGCCCTAACCTAACCCTAATTTGTATTAGGCTGAAAACACGTTTAGAGTGGTCATCAAGGTAATTATCTTCACAATCTTGCAAAATTAACAAAATTAAAACATTTTTGCATAATTACATTTGCACCGTGCAATGGTGCAATTCAGCACAATGAGATTCATGCACCGCGTCACGGCACTTTCACCATGCATGGAATGACATTTGTTTTATTCTTCGACGGTGTTTTGTTTCTTGCACAACACTTCTTTTCCGCACCCAGCCTATAAATACGACCGTGATCCTAGGTTTTCAAACAGCAACACACCACAATACGAACATAAACAATAGAATTTGATCACATGGTCATTGTACGATTTAATTCAGTAACCGTTTCCAAACAATTTAAAGTTCCTTTGCAATTATCGGCCAAATTCACATATATCAAAACAACAACTGTTTTTCCTTGTTGCTTTACATCTTCCAATAACAATTTATTTTTATCCTAAAATGTGCAAATCAACAATGATTCTAGAATTGAAACCCTAGGATACGATGATTGGAGGAATAATATCAAGCAACAGAAATGAACATGGAGTTTATCAGGGGTTGATTTCAGAGTGAGGGAAGGGAAGGGGCGGTTTCGAGGGTTGCGGTTAAGGGAAGGGGCGTTTTACGGGGTGGGGGAAGGGAGGGGGAGTTTTTGAGGGCGGGTAGGGATGTCAATGGGGCGGGGCGGGGCGGATGTTGGCCTTCCCATACCCATCGCCACCTAATATTTTCATCCCCATCCCCGCGGCGGGTCCAATTTTCATCCCCATCCCCGCCCCACCGGGTACAACTCCAAAACCATCCCCGCCCCACCCCCCACTTGGATATCCATCCCCACCTAATCCCCACCAAAAACCCGCCTAATCCCCACCCAAGATCCACCTAATATCCGTATATCAAATACACAATCTTACATAATTAATACGAATTATAAAATAAAACATTATATACACATTTTTGTGTTATAATATAAATGTCGTACAAAGTATTATAATTAATATTGTATTTCATGTAATTATTTTATAAATAGAATAAAAGTATGTAATTTTGCTTTAAAAGATATATAGATGTGGGTATGAGGTGGGGATGGGGCGGGTACGAAGTGGGGCGGGTGGGGCGGGGCGGGGATGGGGCGGGTACAACTTAAAATCCACCCCCGCCCCATCACCCATGGCGGGTATGATTTTTATCCCCATCCCCGCCCCACCACCCGCCAAACCGAGACCCATCCCCGCCCCATTGGGGCGGGGATGGGGCGGGTCTCCTACTTGACCCGCCCCACTGAAATCCCTAAGGGCGGGGGAGGGCGAGAGAAGGGCTGAGGTGTTTGCCTTTAGGGGAAGAGAGGAAGGGTGGTGGTTGCTGGTGGTTTAATTATTCTTTTCAATTTTTTTAGTGTTTTTGACCAATCGGAGCTTAATACGTGTCATGTAACTTGTTACAATAGCTAGGTCGTTGACTTTTGTTGACCGGTCATGACCTAATAGAAGAAAACGCACCCCAAAGGTGGGATTATTAGGAAATAATTGATAGTTCAGATTAACAAAAGTAAGTGGCCTAAAGTTGGGATTAATATTACTAATTTCCCTAAAACTAATGCGTGTCACCATAACACACAATAATTCCCTTTCTCTTCACTTTTTTTTTTGCTGAATTAAAATTATTTTTGTCGAACTGAAATTATTTTTAATTTGGGGACAAAAATTAGTTTTACTGAATTGAAGTTTATTTTACTTATTAAACTAATTATATTTGTTATTTGAAATTATTGCTTTATATCAATAAAAATAATTTTTACTGAACAATAATTATTGAACTAGATATTTTTTAAGGTAACGATAGAGATAGAGAACGAAAAAGACCTAAGTGTCAAAACTGAGTACACTATTATGTCGATTCTCATCTTGCAATTTGATCTGGCATTGTCTGATTGTTAACTTATTCAATAAAATAAAATAAAAATTAAATGACACAAAAATGATCAATAATAAGTTCTAATATATTTTTTTTGAAGAATTCCCATAAAGTTACTTTTTCCATTTCTTCCTATTTGACACTTTTTTAATCATATTTGCCAATGCACTTAACAACTATTAATTAATATCTTTAATTACTGATAAAAAAAATTAAAAAAAAGTTAATATTTTGATAATATATACCGTGAATTCATGACGAATCTAACAAGATCCCATATATTCTTGTATATGTGTCACCAGATGAAGCCCGTGCGATGCACAGTTTGCTTGAATTTTTAAAAATATTTTTAAAAATTTATTTATGTGCTAAAATTTGTTACATATTTAGATAAATATTCTAATATCAAAAGATAATATTTTATATTTAATTAATTTAAACTTAAAAATATCATTCGTCAATTTTGCTTGCGTGACATTTGAATTAATTAATCTTAAAAATAAATTAATAATCTCTTATTTAATTGGCTACATTTAAAATTTATAATCTTACATGGCGCTAAGAAAATCAACACAAAGTTTCATATGTGGCTGGCCACACAATATTAAAAAAATAATAATAATAAAAAATAAAAAAATCAGTTTCTTCTCTTCTCTCCCTCTTCTTTCTGTCTCCTATTTTCTTCTTCTAAGTTGGGGTTACTACTTTATCTCTCTTCTCTCTCCTCTTTTACTTTTCTCCATAATTTGAATTTTTTGATGAAGAGATAATCGTTGATGAGAAGTTGAGTTCGAGTTTTCAAGGTTGGAGCTCCTAGTTATTGTCGCCGAAAAACAACTTAAAGGTTTTTAAGGCCAAATTCGGCCAAAAAAACTCTAGATCTAGAGTTTTCATGGTCGAACATGGCCTTTTTAGCCATATTTAAAGTGATATTCAAAGCCATTGTTAATTTTAAAGGTATTTGTTCTTTTTTTTTAGGATTTTTTTTATTTTTACCACCAAAAAAAATTAAAAAAATGTTTTTACCACCAAAACTTCTAAAACTTTTATTTTACCACCAAATAAAAAATTAAAAGTTGTTTTTTACCACTGACGTCAAAAACCTAACGGAATTTTCTAAATTCTTCGATTTTCGTGTCAAACACAGGCTCTTTAGGGGTTTTAGGGGGCACTTTAGCCCTATGGATCCAATTTGAGGTCAGAATTAACAAAAAATGATCGGAAATGTCTCGTTTAGGACCAAAGTGCCCCCCTAAACCTATGAAAAACATCTTTTGCGCACAAAATTCGAAGGAATTTTTTTTAAACCGTTAGATTTAACGGTTTTCTTGACGTTTGGTGGTAAAAAACAATTTTTAGAAATTTTTTTGGTGGTAAAATAAAAGTTTTAGAAGTTTTGGTGGTAAAAAACAATTTTTTGAATTTTTTGGTGGTAAAAGTCAAAATTTCCTTTTTTTACGATTTGGTTGTGGGTTCAGTTGGATCTATGTTTGTTGTGGGTTTGGTGTATGATGGTGGTGTCATGGTGTATTGGGGGTGGGGCAGTGGCGTATTAGGGATGGTGGTGGGTCAGGGGTTACAAGGTCGGGGGTTACTAGATGGGTAGGTCGGGGGTTACTTGAAGGGTTACTTAAGTGGGGTCACTTAAGTGTGGTTACTTAGGGGTTACTTGGGGAGTTACTTAAAAGGTTACTAGAGGGGTTACTTTTAACCCGGATTGGACAGAAGACCGAAAATTAGAATTTTAAGAACCGAAGACCGGACTGATTAAGCTAGGACTGAACCCGGATCGAACCGAAAGAATCGGTCCGAAACCCGGACCAGACCGCTTTGGACCGATTTAAGAGTTTTTTTTATAATGAATACTAAATTTTTTATAAAGTTATGGAAAACACAAAAAAAAAAAAGTAAAGGAAAAACTATATTTTAATGTCATTTTTACGTTTTTTTTTTTAATGTTTAGTTTAAAAAAACTTATAAAGTTAAAGTTTTTAAAGCTTATCAAGGATAATTTTAACCATTATTTAAGGTTTTATGCATATTTTTAATAAAAAATTCGGTCCGATCCAAGACCATTTTTATAGGGTTTTGGAGCGGGTCGGACCGAAGACTGGAAAAATGAATTTCAAGACCCGAACACTGGAACGAATAATTTGGTCCGGTCCGGTCCGGACCGATTTATGAACACCCCTAGTGTGAATACATGGACAGTGATATAAAAAAAAAAGGAGAAAATATGTTAGAAACTAGATTAATGTCGTTCGATGCTTTGATCAAAATAAAATATTTTACATTTATTTATTCGTGAATACTCCGTATGGTTTTTATCGGTTTAACTCAACCTGATTATGTGAAGAGGGTCCCCACTCAACGAAATTCCCTCCCGCCTTCCACAACAGATCTTCCTAGAAATAAACGAAGTTCAGACGAATTTGGAACTATTTATTAATTTATAAATTAATAAAATTTATGATCACAAATTCTTCTTTCTTTGTCTCCTGATTTGGGTAGATTATCATCAGTATTCTACCAAATTCTATTCAATTTTCACTCTCCTAACACCCAGATTCTCTTTCGTTTTTTTCTGGGATTAAATTTAATTGGAATTTTGGATTTTTGGAAGAAAGGAGAGAGAAATAGACAGCTACGCCAGTAAAGAACTAAAGATGATGTTGCAGTATAATGGGTTTTCAGGGCTTAAGACAAAAAGGGTATTTTTCTTTTACTTTTTTTTTTTTCTTTCTGTTGGCATTTTATATCTGAAATTCGTAGTGAATTGGGGTTTTTATTTTCTGCTATACATTGATTATTTTAAGTTTTGGGTGATTAAGTTTTCTTGTGGAATTATCTGATTTTTGTAGATTAAAGGAAATCAAGTTTTAGGTGTTCTTTGTTTGTTGCCTGAAAAAGAATGCTTTTTGATTGGATATTAGTTTTTTTGGCTGTCTAATTTGTGTTATCAAGTTGGCAATCTGTAGAATTTTAATGGGGGTTTAGTGGTTTATGCAATCGAAATCGATTTTGCGTGTTGAAATAATCATATTTGGCTGTACTGGGTAGCTAAAGTTATGAAATGAGCTGAGATGTTTACTATCAACAATGAATTGCACCTTCTGTTTATTGTTTCAATTGAAAAGACAAACCAAGAATAGTATTACTAGGAATGGGCATTTATGGTTATGGATTATAGAATAGTACCCGTAATCGAGCATTCTTGTAATCATGACTTGTCTTGCTCTCTTATGACAATTGATTGCTATTCATACAGCATAGTGGGTAGCACTATGAAGTTCTACATAATTTTGACATAACCTTGGTTCACATCTTGTTATATGAAGTGAAGCTATCAATGTGGTTTAAACTCAAGTAACTTAGCTTACTGGTAATCTTTCTGCTAGGGAGAAGAAAAAATGATTGATACTGTTTCAGTCCTGTTGGTTTCAAGATATATTTTCTGTTTGCCTGCAGATTGTGTTTGAAGATGTTTTCAGTGTGCTTGATTCTGTGAGTCTTGAGCATCTGAAAGAACTAACTGCAAGGCGTAGAGTGATTGAGGAATCTATAAACGCAACCAGCTTCATCACAGAAGCTACTGCAAGGGAGATGTCTGGAGGGCTGACTTCTCGCAGTCAACAGGTTAGTTCTTCAATGTAATTGTCTTGTCTGGTATAGTGGTATGTAACGATCTCGATTGTGCTTTTTTTCCCAAAATCTTCTCTTTATCACTTAGATCTTGGCTTATCGGTTGTTTATTAAGAAACTCAGCTAGTAAGGACATTGCTTCTGTCTTGACTCCCCTTAAGAAAGGGTTTGTCTGTTGATAGTTTTAAACATTGTGCCTCCTAGTGCTTTCAAACTACTTGTCTGTTGTGATTTTTCTGGTAGATAACAGGTTTGTTGGTATAACCTTCAACTTTCCTAAAGAGTAGATGTTTTTAAAATAACCGGAGAGGGGGATTCAGGGGAAGGGTTTGGAAGGTGGGTGGGTGGGGGGCTGATAAATTTTGTTAGTTATCTTGTGAAACTTAAAAATGAACCAGGGCATGCAACATGTCCAGTTGGCCCGGCCTAAGGCAACATCATATGCTAACACAAACGGCTCCTGTCAAAAACTAGTGCACCAATTTGCAGCTCTGACCTAGCAAATGCAAGCAACAGCAATAAAACATCAACCAGCTAGGAATGAAAGACGTAGTATTATGAGCAAGTTTAATTAATAGCTTACTGGCTTAAAGTAGCAGTAGCAAGCTGCAACAAAATTCAAAAGTCAGCTAAATTTACCCTTCTGTCAAAACCAGCAACCTCCTTGATTTTATTTTATTTTTTATTTATTTATTTATTTATAATTTTTTTTTCTGAAACCATATTTAATCTGAAGCACCTAATTACTTTTCTGATCCATCCCTACACATCAAATATCCGTTGGTTCTGAATCCTGGTTTTTATTTTTTTTCTCAAAGACAATCTGTCTTGCAATGGAATTCTCAGGCATTCTCTTGTCTTTAAATTCTTATGTACCTGATACCTCTCTTCCTACTTGTCACGAACAAGTTCGTTATCTACATGGCTTTTTTTCCCTATACAGTTCACAAAAGGTCAAGCCCAAGCCAACTAGGAGAGCCTATCAGCATAGACACTACAGAAATACAAACCAAACTCATCTAGCTTATAATCATTTTAAGACTATGTGCTACAAGCCTTTGGTATATCCAGGCATGGGACACATTCACTACCAGAAGCAAAATTTATTTTCTGCTGTCTATCTGCACTATGCAGCTTCTGTACTAAAACAAATTAAGTTTTTCAATACATGAAGCAATGATTTCCCACCTTAAAATAAAAAGAGCAATACTGTGGTTTCAATCAAATTTGAATTTCTGCTTAAACCTCCTTGAAGTATCTGTTGCACCTCTGAAGGAAGTGTGGTTGACTAAGCCAGTAAGCCTTTCTGTGTAACAACAAACAAGGTTGAGAAATTCATGCTTGCAATCCTACTCTATGTAATTGCAATCCTGTGATCATGAACAAGCTTAAATTAAACTTTAAAATAATCCCTAATATTGCATCTCCAATATTAGATCAGGTGACAAGTTGACAACCCGTATGTAGACCTAGGGTCTCAACTTAAACTACATATATATATATATATATATATATATATATATATATATATATATATATATATATATATATATATATATATATATATATATATATATGTATATATAAAGATGCACACATATCACCTTTCACAATAAAACTTTTATTCCTTCTCTTGATAAAAATCTTGCTTTTGATAGCAGAGCTCACTCTTAATCATTCTTATTTAAGAAACATGAATACAGAACCATGGCTTCAGCAAATCACCATTCTGAATTGTGCTTATCTCATCATTTGCTCCTCTTGATACTAGCTTTTTTTTTATGAGGAGAGGTAGGGGATAATTAATTTAGGCTTGATGTTGGCTCTCTTGACACTTAGACAACATCTTAAAATTTTCCAAAATTGACATACCATTTCCTTTAGATGTCACAGAGTTGGGCTTTTTTTTTTTTTTTTTTTTTTTTTTTTTGGGGTGTCCCTTTTACTTAATTGAAACAATTTTAATTTTATTTCAAGAATAGTTGGCTTGTATGGCATGTACAGGGATCTTGTTTGCACTTTGGCAGAATATTTATAAATACTCAAGAGGCAAGACAAGATGCTATAGAAAATTGGATATTGATCTACGCTTACTTGTTACCTTTAAATAAAATGCATTTTCATAAATAAACCTAAAAAGTCTTATTTATAATAGAGTGGCTAAGATTTCTAATAGTTGCTTGGTTTCTATAGACATAGTCCATTTTCATGATAATTTCGTGACCATTCTTTACTTCCTGTGTGGTTCTTGTCTCATTCTGATGGTTCTCTGATAATAACAAATTGTCCCTTAACAAAGGAATTTTTCAAATGTCTCAGGATATTCAGAAACTTGAACAGTATCTGCCACTGCTGCAGAACTTTATTGTCCAAGTTGATTCGATAAGTCGAAATAAGGATTTGTTGATCTTAGAGCTGAGAATACAGTGGAGTAGCACCCTTAGCTCTATGAAGTTTAGATTTGGCGGTCCAAAGTTTTTCCAAATAAATAGTTTGAAGTATGAACTTGGGATGGTTCTGTTTCTTTATGGTTTGACTATCCGTGAGAGAGCCTTTGAAGTTTTTTCAGAAGGTTAGTACTTAATTAGCATAATCGTAATTCACTTGCTTATCAAAAAATTTTATTGGTTCCTGCATCTATATTAAATTTTAGTTATATTATTATCATAGATATGCAGCAATCTGCCAGCCTTCTGAGAAAAGCAGCTGGAATCTACAAATATTTGAGTGCTGAAGTCCTTCCACTTTTGCAATCTATCTTGCCTCCAGAGAAGCCACCAGAAACTACAACGAATGTCTCTTCTGCCATGAATAATATTTGCTTGGCAGAAGCTCAGGTATGTCCATTATTGTCCAATAGCCTCAGTGTATGTTAATTATTTATGTCATCTTCATATGTATAACAGAGGAATTCACTCAGATATACAATGTCAATACTTCTTCAGTCAGATGTGATTTTAAAGTTTGATGATTTTTTTTTTTTCAATTTATAATTTGTAGGCAATAGCCATAAGAATTGCAGAAAAGCAGGGATTGTCCAATGGTGCACTAGCAAAATTGCACTATGGCGTTACACAGCTCTTGGATGAAGCAAGTTCTGTTCTGCAATCAGAACCTAAAGATGTTTCTCGCAAATTTATAGTAAGTGCATCATTTCTGCACCTACTAAGTAAGCAAAGAGCTTAATTCTGAATTTATATCAGTGGCGTCTGTCCATATTGTATCCCGTTCTTCTTTCTTGATGTAAACACCATAGCTGCAATTTTGTTATCTGCAGGAGTTTATATATACTTGCAGTACTCTACATGAATTGAAAAGTTATAGACGCCTTGCTGAAAGCTACAAACAGTCTGAACAGATGGGAGTGGCCATTGGTCTTCTTAACTGTGGAATGAGTAAATCAAAGAACTTGCCTGGAGAACAGACTTGGCGAGAAGCTTTTAAAAGTGAAGTTTACAAGATCTCTGATATGCTAAAAAAGTACAATGATGAAAATGCATTTGTCTGGCAGCAAAAGATCCCACTAGATTATGAGTTGCCATCCTTGGAAGGTAGAACGGTAGTGACCACCACCTCTTATGAGCCTCAAAGATGGGAAAGAGAAATTGCTTTCAGCAGCTGAAAGCAAACCGTATTTACTTGTACAGTATCATTTATTGTGTAAAAAGTACTGATTCACTTCGCTTCTTGTGTATACCAGGCTTACCAGCTGAGCCTGGAGTTTTGTTTCAGAAAGGAGTTTTGTTCCTGTCTTGCTGAAGTCAATATTCATAAGGCTTGAACGGTAGGCCGTTAAGGGCAATGTAGGATTTGAGTGTAAATGAAGATTACAGAGCTGGAGCTGCTGTTCAGTGTCCATGCTGATTTTGGTTGCATTTTGCAGGACTGATTAGTGAATACTAAGGAAAAATTAAAACTTTTTCAAGGAAATTGCATCCTTGAGTTGTTCGTTCATGTCTTAATTGCATTGTTTACAAATTGATGATCCAGCCAATCCATTTTTACTTAAATTGGTTTCCGTTTTTTAGATTGAAAACAAATACAATAATGATAAAGAGGATATTGTTCTTGTACTAGGATTACTTTGTCTAATCACCAAGATGGAAAGTCTCATTTTATAAGCATTTAAACGTCAAAGATTTCAATATAGATAGGATCATAGGACCATTAAAATCAAGGTGCTATTGTATAATTTTACAGTACCTACTCACCAAAATAACAAAGATTGGAAAAAAAAAAAAAGCACCAAATTTTTTTATGTTTGTAGGTAGGGAGAATATGCTCTATTAGAATGAAATCTCGCACAAGTCAATCCAACCCATGTAACAATTCTACATTTCTACTTGAAAAAATCAACTACTTTTGATAGTTTGTATAAAACCTATTTTCAATGTACAAAATATAATATGGAATTTTTGTACTTAAGATACAACCTGTTGTATGAAAAACACAATCGCGACGCGAAGCAGGATCCGAACGACGTAGTGCCAAGTGGATTTGTCAGCACCACCCTTTTCCTGAACAAGTCTTTCAAAATGAAGCCATTCTATTACTCTCTTTACGCCTAATGATCCATCAATCATGGCTGCTCTTCGATGCACTTTCACACCATTCACTTCGTGTCATCAAAAACCCTCTTTAACCCCTAAACAATTCTTCCCCTTCAATCCCTCAACACCATCTTCATCTTCTTCTTCTTCAACATGCAATTACCCCAGAAATTCGTTATTCAATCCATCTTCTCAAAGTCACAGGTATAATATTAATTTTCATCTTTTCTCAAAATTCTAAGTTGCCAGTTTTTGGGTTCTTATTGTTGCTCATTGAATTGCCATTTTTTATTTTGTTTTGACTTTAAATAGGTTAGGAAGGGGAAGGGCTATATCTGCTCTTGTTTCAGAAGATAGTGCAACTGGGTCTTTATCTTCTTCAATTACTGATAATGGGTTCAAACTCACTTATCTTGAGGTGGGTTTTTCAATCTTTATTTATCTAATTAAGATTCAAGTAATTTTTTTGTCAATTTATATTAACCATCATGATTTATTATTTTGATTGAGATTGTAAAGGTAAAACTATCACAACCACATACCATTTCCCAAGTCTCAGTAGTAGATTAAGGGGAAGAGTGATAATAAGCTTTCCATGGTATACATTATTGTATTTGTGTGTAACATTGATCATGGATATTGGCAAAACCTTTCTTCTATTTTCGTCACTCAATCTTAGTAAAGGTATAAGGGTATAATATGTCATAGATCATTAGCGTTCTACGAAATGTGATAACTTTTTCGGACATCCTGTAGTAGCATATGTGACTATTGGGAGTAGTATATTAGGGACTTTGGGGAGGAGATATACTACTTAGTACTTAATCCGTTTCATATTTGTTGAGACAATTTGACTTTGGACACTATTTACATAACATACTTTGACTCAAATTTGTGATTCATACATGGGAAAAAAAACTCTGTTATATGGGGCCTTATTAGATTTATTTCAATGTATATTTTTCCGAAGATAAACTTTATAATTTTATGATTTTATCCCTTAAAAAATCATAGATGTTGAAATTTAAAATTGCACATTGGCAAATGTGAATAAAGAAATGTGTCAACTAGAATAAACGGAGGAAGATTTGTTATTGAATATTGTTGATTTAGATCACCATAAAAGTTTTTTTATTTTGTTTGTGTTTGATATATTTCTCGTATTTTCCCAGAAACCCATTGTAAAGAATATAATGTAGTATTGATAACGGTTGATATATGGAATGTGGCAACTAGAAACCTTATACTGTCTTGCTCTATTGTGTTTATGACTAGTTTGATTTATTATTGTTTGGTGGGTTTTATAGGGAAATAGTTGGTTGTGGGAAGCAGGTAATGTGAAGCTATTGGTGGATCCGATTTTAGTGGGAAGTTTGGATTTTGGCATTCCATGGCTCTATGATGCTACTAAGAAATTCTTGAAGAACTTTCAGGTATTGGGCTTTTGGATCTTGTTATTCAACTGCTGATGCATGATCAGTTTATAGTTGGAATTTGTTGTTTCTCCTCTTACCGCCCCAGCTTAGCTGTTTAATGACCTTGATGCATTGTTCTGCAGCTTAGTGATATTCCTGAAGTGGACTGTCTAATAATCACACAAAGTCTGGATGATCATTGCCATTTAAAGACCTTGAAGCCACTCTCTGCCAAGTTCCCTAATTTAAAAGTAGTTGCAACTCCTAATGCCAAGGCAATGCTGGATTCTCTCTTTAGCAAGGTATGTATATATATATTATTCTCTTTCCTGCTTTAGAAATGACGGTTTTATGCTTTGGATAATTGCATTCACTAGGAAAGATAGCCAGTTAGACACAGATATCAGGGACAATTTTAGAAACTGCTGAAGAACCAAAGCCTCTTCATCTCTGAATTATTGACTAAAGTAATTTAATTTGGTCATTGGACAGCTTCAGTCATTAAGCATACTACAAGATTAATAGATCATTATGGTTACTACATAAATTAACTTCTTCTCAGACTGCTTAGACCTTTAGTAAGACCAATTCAATTCAAACCCCCATTGAAAGGCACATATACTATTTGAATTAATTACTATTAACTCCTTATTGTAGATACACTTTTAAATAGTATGAAGACCTCCTTGAAAATATATGCATCTTGCACTGAGAGTTACCTGCCTTGGTAGTAAAAGATCTTGATTGGCTGTTATAGCCCATGTCCATCTTGTAAAGTTACTAGCTGGTTAAGCTTTGGATATTTTGAAATCCATGCTTACTTTTTCTACAATTGTACCAAGTCTCCCAACGTGATATGTCTCATTTCTCTTTTGACTACTAAGTGATGTATAAAATTATAAAACGAAACCAGATTTGCCTCAAAAATAAGCCTCATAATATCTTCTCCCAGTAAAAAAAATTCTAGTTCAAGTTCAATATGTGGTAATATCACCTTTTAACTGGTTGCTTGGCTCTATTGATAGTGTTCGTTTCATGTAGCCCATGCAAAAAATTACCTTACTTTGAAATAATAAGTGAAGTTTGGCTTTGGGATAGGGAACTGTAACAAATTCATTCTATTTTAAAAATACTTTAGTTTTTCTAAAGTTTACAAGCCTACAAGTTAAATTTAGTTTCATGTTCATTTTAGTAATCAAACTCTAATATTAAAATCAATTTTTCACAAAGTGAGTCTAGCCGGACCGAAATGAGTCTAAACTGTTCACAAGCTGTTGTGAATTTTGATCATATTCACCCCGACTTCCGAGCTTCAAAACAATGGTAGCATTGAGATGCTTTGCTTCCTAGATTCCCTCAAAGGCTCAAATGTACTCTTTTCGCCCCATAATAGTGCACCCCATTCTTTCGGCATATAGTATTCGGTGATAAGATATGTTGATAAAAAATAGGTATGATGAAAGATAAAGGGGTAACTTTTTAATTGAACGAGCACGAGTATTTATAACATAGTAGGCCCTTGTCAAAAATAAAAGGGGCAATTTAATTCTCCCTCCTTTGTTCATTTTCCAGTTCTTGGACTTTTCTATTTACCTCGTTCTGGTCACAAAATTGCTTGTGGTTTTTCTTGTAGTACCAACACCTACTTAGGGCTGTAATTCTTAAGAATAGTAAAGTCCACTAGGTTAGCTTTAACGGAAAGTTCATTTTGAGGAGAGTTCTTATCATTTGGTCGATTTACTTCCTTGACTTTCATGTTAATCTTCTTGGTCCTTATGTTTGATATTTTAAGGTGATTAGCCTGTCTCTTGTGTGCAGTGCTTCTCATCTAAACTTACTTCATTTTTTTTTTGGTTTCATCACTTTGCAAATTGTGGACTCTTAGGCTTTCTCGAGATTAGAAAGATAGAGGGATAAAAAAAAAGTGGACCCATTTGATAGGAGAGAGATAAAGAGAGTTTATTAACTGAAAAGGAAAGTGATGCAACTAATTTGAAACTTCTGTTTTAGGAAAGTGATGCAACTAAAAAGAAACGGAGGAAGTAACTCATTTAGGGAGTCAGCTTCTCGTATTCTTGAACTTGTTCCATGATTATTTTTGTCGCTCACCTTTTGGGTCTGCATCCAACTAGGCATCTTTTTTTTCCCCCTTGGATCATCATTGCATAGTCACTATCCCAAGATAAATTGACAGATTTGTTGATGGAGAGCTATCAAACACAAAATTATTGATATGGCTCAATAGGTGACCTTTTAATCATCTTGATCTTTTCCTCATACTTTTTAATTTTCAAGCTGCCTCTGATGAAACATGAAAGTGCAAACCATCGTAAGGGCAGGAGACCAGGAGTTTGATTTTCGACAAGTCTTTATATATATATATATATATATATATATATATATATATATATATATATATATATATATAGTTCATCTATAATCACTCATTTGAATAAGATAATAATTGATGGGAGTTGTTAGTGCCATCAAGATGCTCGGGTTTGGAAATATCAAGGTCTTGTAGATAGAATGATCCACACCACCACCATATCAACATATGAGACTACCCACATCGATCCTAATCTATAGTAGGAGCACTTCAAAATGACAATTATAAACTCAATATAAGTTAAACTAAGTACATTGTATTTTCTTTTTCCATGTATGACAAATGTCTAGAGGTGGAAAATGGGTATGCAGATCAAGGTCAGATCAAAACTTTTCAGTATGTGTCATATTTGGGTGGTGAGACATGAAGTTTGTTTCAGGTTGGTTAAAGTCATATTCAATTCATTTATATAGTCAATTAGCTTGTTACATTGTTATGATAAATAAATTGATATTAATCATGTTAATTTTTTGGTTAAGTCAAGTAACTATGTATTCCTTATACTCTAGTATCTTTGGTGTCATGGTGTGTGTTCATCAACCATGTTTTAGCTTCCTTCCGCATGCTTCTTTTCTTAAGGTATATCCTTGTCATTCCCCACATTTTATTTCTCGTGTCTTGATTTTCAGGTAACATATCTCGAACCTGGTGAAACCACAGAAATTGAGGGAAGGAACGGTGCAAAAGTTGGAATCCGTGCCACTGCTGGGCCAGTTCTTGGTCCACCTTGGCAGCGGCCTGAGAATGGGTATGGATCATGCAGCATGCAACTTATTATCCATTTCAAGCAAAATAATGCTTTAAGCTTTGAAATTTTCCGTTTCAGAATATATTTATATTTTCAACCTATCTTTAACAGCGTAATTAACTAAATATCTGGCAGATACATTATATCTTCTTCTGAAGGCAAGCTGACACTTTACTATGAACCTCACTGCGTCTACAATGATGAATCCTTGAAGAATGAGCAGGCAGATATTGTCATTACTCCAGTCATAAAGCAGCTTCTACCAAAATTTACACTTGTTTCTGGGCAAGAAGATGCAGTTAAGCTTGCAAAGCTATTGCGTGCCAAGTATATGCTTATTGACTTGTCTCTTCATCGTTTTATTGAATTTATTGTTTCATGCATTCTCAAATTCCCATTTGTTATGATTGAAGGTTCGTTGTTCCAATGAAGAATGGAGACCTTGAAAGCAAAGGGCTTCTTTCAAGTTTAATTCAATCTGAAGGAACCATGGGATCTTTTAAGGTTTGGTTTCTTCTCTTACTTTTCAAATTTTGTTTCATTATTAAGCAGCTCTAGTATTTACATCAATTTTGAACTGAACAAATTTTACAGCTTAGCTGCAATTGCTTTTCATATTCAGGTCTTCGTTGTTTTAGTTTCCAGTAATTGAAACAAAGAGCCTGGCTTCAGAGTTACATTCGATTTGCTTCAGAAACTTTTCGGTTCTCATATATGTATTTTCCATCAATTAGGTAGCACAAACAAAGGTGGTCTGAAATTATAATAAGGAACTTTGAATTTTTGTGAATAAATTCAATTGGATTGAAAGGCAAACAGCTTCATCATGTAATGATGAATAAAAATTAGTAGAATATCCTGCATGTCATCAATAATTTTTTCACTTTTGGTTGACACGATTTAGTTTTACTTGTAACAGTGGCGTATCCAGGAAGTCAGAAGTGTGGGTTCGAATCATCAAATAATAAGATATAGCTCCTTCGTTTTTTTTTTTTTTTGCAATGTTGATGATTTCACGCTTGCCAATGCACATTCTATTACTTAAATATCTTAAATTACATTTTTGTAATAAATATACAAAGTTGATATCAAAAAGGGGGAAAAAAAATTAAAATTGCTTATATAAGCATTCGGGCTTTCATCAAGTGGTAATATTAGGAGTTTAGAGAAGAAATTGAAAAAAAAGGGGGAATAAATAAAAAGGCTTTAGAAAAACAAGTATACATGAGAGTTTTGAGGTGAAACTGAAAAAAATTTGGAGAAGGTAGTGAGGGTAAAGGAAAAGAGGGGAAATTATTTTTAAAGTTCAAGTGGTAATATTAGGAGTTTAGAGGAGAAATTTGAAAAAAAGGGGAAAAAAATAAATGATGTGAGGCTGAGAGTCGAACCCCAGACCTATAGGGGCCTAGCGCACAAACCAAACCCTTGCTACCACTGATCTGCGCTTTTTTTTTTCCTATATTACTTATGCACACAAATTCTATTTATTTATTTTTCTATTTTTAAAAATTAAATAAAAAAAAAGAAAGAAACAAACAAACCTTTTTTTCCCGAAAAATCAGTGGGTTCAATGAACCCACTTGAACCCACCGTGGATCCGCCACTGACTTGTAAGGATTTAGGACAAGCTAAAGCACATACTATCTATTAATTATATATCTGGGCACTTATCAGAATTGAAATCAGCCTGGTCATTTTGGTGTCAGAGGAGAGGAGGACTTCTAGCTGCATAGCCAAACCTCCAATTTAGTTTACACAATTTGTTACCTGTTGTGAGGTGGCACATTGCAAGATGCAAAGTAGCTTTTCCTAGATAAAGAATGTTGGTGCAGCTATAGTGAGGATACTGGTTTTAAAAAGTTACAATTTTTTTTAATTGTCTTGCCGAATTTTTGTCAAAATTCTAAACCTGAGGGCTGAGGCCACAATTCTATAATAAACATGAAATCCAACTGATCAATTAGAAATTTTGGTCTATATATAATTGATACACTGAAAGCCAAATACTTCGTATTCTGAAAGCATTCGTTTAATTCATAATGTTTATCCACCTTTCTTGTTTGGGAAGTTTTGAAATGAATGTAGTAATTTAATCTAATTTTCATAATCTTTGTGGATTTTGTTAATTAAGATAGACATAACTGAACAAAAAAAAAAAGAGAGAGAGAAGGTATTTCCATTCTCTTTTTTAAGATATGTATATCTTTGTTTTTCTATGACATTGTTTTCCAGCCCCCGAAAGTGGAGGAGATAGAATTATAAAAGGCTAATTTGCATATTCTGCAGTATGAATATACGAAGTATATTTTATGTGATGCATTTTTTTAAGGGTTAAGAAACAAGATAACTGGTGGCACTTGTCAATTAAACACTAAATTGCTTTATGTGCCTAATCAAGTGGTTCAAAGTTCAAACCTTCCAATATGCAAAGTTGTGGACCTAGTTCGGCATTCATGAATTTGCAGTACATTAGATGATTAGAGAAGCTTTTTTTTTTTTTTTTTTTTTTTCATTTATTCTGGGGTTTGTTTGGTGCATTAGTTAGAATTGCATTGTCTTCCTTTCGCTGTTCAGTGTTATATTGATAGATTTAACTTTTAATTACTACCTGCTTTGTCAAAGAACTTCTCCGCAGGAACCTGACATGGTATTAAATAATCTAAATCGAAACATTCTAGATGTAAGTACATAGTTGCCGTTTATATTGCAAATAGGTGCTTGCAAATGCCCTCACTTTGAGACTCTTGGATTGGCTGTACGCCTGTACCATCAATTTAGCTACAATACTTCATATTTTTTCTAAGTTTATCTAGTGACATGAGGATTTACTCCTTTCTTGTTTCTAGTCCATCAGTATATCTCTCCTGTTAATTTTGTACATCACGCATTTCATTTTGAACTATTCAATATATCTTAACATGATATTAGGTTGGGAATTTATGTCAAAATCACGTGTGTGAGTTGTTATTACATGTATATACGTAGTAGGGTAAAAACCTACGGTAATATTTAACTTGTTATTCTGGCCCTTATGACTCTGAAGCACTGACATTCTTCCTAATAAGGTCTCGATCACTTGCTGCTATGTATAGCATAAGAGTAGATAGCATAGCAGTTTGAAAAAGATTAGACTATTTTCTATGCTTCGGGGTTCAATTTATTGAGCCTGTTCATGCTGTTATCTTCAACTGATGGAATATTTTCTATTGAATCCAGGAGCTTTTATCAAAGGAGTTGCCTGATGCGAAGGTTCTCGAGCCAACTCCAGGTGTTCCATTAGAGATTCCTGAAGTGTGAGTATCTGCACACAGGGATGCTGTAAATCAGTAGATTATACAGGAGAAAGGAATGCTGGAGAAAAATTTAGCCCATGTTATTTGTACATCATTACACATTTACACTACAAAGTAAGCCCCTTTATTTCAGCAAACAGAAGCATTTTAAACTTGGGATCAAGAGCTAAAAGGGGCAAACTAGGTCTTGTACTCAGGAACATGATGTAAATTCGAAAGCACATAAAGTTCAGAGTAGATTTCAGTAACATTAAAGGATGTGAATACTTCCTCTCTCCCCCAAATTTTTTTACGGATTTAACAAGAATTCACATTACTACATTTTTCTTAGATATACAGTAAGTTACAATGTGTTACTGAAGAAGTGAGTAAATAGTGTTAAAATCATGCAATATATAGAGAACGAAAAAAGTATATATTTTATACGTAATCCGGAACATGGTGCACCCAGAACATGATACACGTCATGTTGTCAATAGTCAATTGTATAACCTAGTTATCCAACCATTGCGTTCCCTCTGTTTGATTTTGATATAGTCATTGGTAGATGAAGTTAAGAACAAAATGATGTAATTGTCATGGAGTATGAGGATAAAATCGTAAAATGTATTAGTCAAATAAAGCATATCAAAGTAGAAAATGGGTACCTAATTACAGAGTACGATTTATAATTGGCCTTATCAGAGAAGCAACATTAGCTATAAAAAGATTAAAAACAGAAGGTTTCTGTTGGCTATTTTTGTGTAAGAAATGGACCAATTAGTGTCTTAATCTCTTGATAGTTGATATGACAGAACGCCAGAATCAACTAGAATTCATAAATCAATAGGCCCAATTGAACATTATCATTGTTTTTTCATTGGTACCAAGGCCACCATCCCCCCCCCCCCCGGTTCAATGTGGTCATTAAAATTTACAAATAGATGATATGAAATTGACCTCCAATATATGGCCCGTTCTCGTACGTTTATTTTCAATTCAGCTCCTAATTTCCTTCTTTTACTCCCGCTGTTTTTAAATATTTGCTCCACTTTCCTTTTCCAGCTGTTTTTAAATACTTGCTCCATTTCCTTTTTGGGAAACCTTTTATAATATTTAATTCATTTCTCACACTTGGTGGACCCAACATAATACTCTATCTCCTCCCATTCTTCCACTACTTTTGCTTTTTACAATTTTTTATTTTCTCAGCTACCCCATTACCTCCATATTTTATTTTTTTTTTCCAATTTCTCCTAAAACTCCGCGCATGGAGAAATGGAGCAAGTATTTAAAAACGGAGGGAGTATAAAATATTCATTTCAGTTCAGTTCAGATGAGAACAAACCCTTAATCACGAAGTCAAAATCATATTTTTTTTCTACCCGATTCATCCTTTGGGCTATTCTGGATTTGGGGTTTAGTTTTGGATGGTTATGTTACAGTTCTCTCCCAATTGTTGTTGCGGGGAATCAAACACGAGTGCTCTCTACCAAGTGTAGTCCCACTCACCACTGCACCAATAACCAATTGGTACAAAGCCAATATCTTATAAATTGTACTGTTATCTTTTTTAATCTACTTGAACTATTTAACTAAGTGCAAATCAATATGAAATATACATTCTTCATTCTTGATAGTGTCACAATTTTGCTCGAAGGGGTCACAAAATAATTATTAGGTTATTTTAACAAAATTTAATAATTTATACTTGTATTTAAATCATTTCATATTACTCTTGATATTTCCTACATATAGTATTTTCCAAACCAGTGAATATATGTATATAATTATTTGTCCTATACATACTGATATTGAATTGGATAGGTGTGTGACCTTTCAAACATGATTTTCTAACTTTATACAAGTATTGTTTGTTGTTTAGCTTGAAGATGTGAGGAAGACTATAGGTTAATTTTTATGTGAAAGACCATTTCAAAGGAAAAACTATTGTTAGAAGTTTATTTTTTAAGCTTAATAAGTAAAAATTGTGAACTTGGTGAAATTGTCACTTCTTCTTTTACGTGAAAATCACTACTCAATCCACAAAAAAGGTAATGTTTGAAAAATGCATTTAAGTCAAAGAAGCAAAAATTCCATCGTTGAAACCCATGTAGTAATCATAAAGTATACTAAAATGCAAGCAAAAATTCAAAAAGAAGCAGAAGAAAAGTATCAAAGTCTATATACATTGATTTGCAAACATAAACCAAATAAAGTTTTGATATACATGAAATACAACGTCTATATTTATTAAAGTCAAAGATTTGCTCCCTATGTAAAAGGATTCACCTTTCTACAGGTCATGGCTCTAATTTGTGTTAAATAAATCATGTACTTACAATATTAATATCAACTAATGCTAGAATGTAAACCATGCAATTAATAGTTAGCTATTAGTATAGGCAATTTATTATGACTATATTTCGTACATAGTGTGTGCCTTAAGTATGAGACAGACTTACAATAATTTATCTTAAGAAATAATATAAGGGTTACTCTTACAATGAAATAAAAAAAAAAGAGGTCATCATAAGTTCATTACAAAGTATTGTGATTTAGCCAATAATGTTTATATTGATGTATATTATAATTTAGCCCATAATGAATTGGTTAGTGGGTTTCAAAAACTTGGGGAGGAAGAACAAAAGGTTGACAAGCAAATGTAATCTAAAAGAAGTTGCACATTTTTATTGATAGATCATGTTTATCTCTAATACCTAATTGTCAAAACTAAAGAATGTTATCCAATGTTTTATTCTTACCATCAAAGCCAACACATTGCTTGTTCAATTTGACAAACACCCAACATTATTCAAGAAGATGGTGGCTTCTAAATTCTAAAAGTATCCAATGCAAAATGACATACAGCTAGCTATATATATATACTATGATTACTATCTTATCATAAGATAGTTTATTTTTTTATG